CCAGAAAGGAGTCACGTTTAATCCCAAAGAAAAAGTGAATCAAGAGCATTTTTCCTTAATTTAGCCTCCTGAAGTGAGGTGAAATGCAGTTTCCTCCTCAATTTCCCTCAAGAAGGACAATTATGGGGGCTTTTGGACATCTTTTTCATCTGTGGGAGCCCCTTCAAATGGAGGGTCCCCATCAATGGGACTCTTATAATGGCACATAAAGAGGTTCCCCTCAAGGGAAGCCCTTTAAAACCAGGCACAGCGGTGTTTGCCCTCAATTTGAACCTTAAGCTGGTGAAAATGGGGCTCTTTCCATCAATTTGCACCCATGGAACAGCACCACAAATGTATGCTCCTTCCATTTAAACATAAAAATCATGGAAAGCAGTGATGGCCTCCCAAGTAAGACAACCAGAATTATGGGAGAGATGTTTTCCTTCAATTGAGACCCTTCAAATCGTAGGTGAAAGGGGGATCCTGCCCAGTTCAAACACAATTATGGAAAAATGTTCCCCCCTAAATTTAAATCCTTTTTCTTCTCGTAACCCCCCATTTTTGGGGGGAGGGGGCACTGGGGAGGCACTGGGGGCACTTCCCCCTCCTGACTGCTCACTCCTGGGGCTGCTGCACTTTGCAGAGTGGTGAGGAGTTCCCTCCCAGTTCCCTCCCAGTATCCCTCCCAGTATCCCTCTGACTGGCAAGCACCGGGAGGGATGGTGAGAGCACTGGGAAGGATGTGGGAGCGCTCTCGCTTCCCAGTGCTCCTAATATTCCCTCCCAACGCTCTTTCTTGTTCACTCCCAGTGCTTCCACTATCCTTCCCAGTTCTCTCATAGTATTCTCAGCGCTCCCAGTTCCCTCCCGGTGCTCCCAGGACCTCTTCCAGTGCTCCCACTGGCAAAACACTGGGGGGCACTGAGTGGTCCGGTCGTGGAGAGGGAAGACTTCAGCTGCTAGGAGAGAAAACCCAACTTAGGAAAAGCATTCCCTGGAGGAAGGTGTCTCCCCCTCTTTTGACCACAGAGGGAGCTGAATCTCCACTATTAACTCCAGAAGGTTCAAGCTCCAAGTCCAGCTGGCAGAAATTTTATTGCCCCACTTCCCAGCACAATAGTCAGACCTGACATGTTTGAGGGGGGCAATGCAGATTAAATAATTAACGGTGCTGGGTACCGTTCTCTCTCTAAACTACAAACACAGAGGAACAAAACCCTTAAAGAGGATGGATTTCTCTTCCTGGCATAAGAAGAGAAGGAGGAATCTGACAGGAATGTTCATCATTCTGCCGGGGCTTTGTCAAACACTCCAGCTCCTGCGCTTCGGGGAATAACGAGTGGCTTATAGGAAGTGACTTTTTTGTCAGTGAGCATGTTATTATGGATTAATCTCACACTGGAAATCAGTCTTCCTACTCTCCTGCTCTTTGCATCACCCAAACAGTTTGGAGGCTGCTGCCCAGCGAGCTTCTGAGTTGTGTCTTCCTTGTCAATCTTATCAACACTTTGTTTAATTGTAAAAACATAAATAAAATGCAGCGAGCATCGGCCCAGGGTCTCAGGATTTTCAAATCTCTTCCAAAGAAATAAAAAAGAAGAGTGTTTCTCCAAAACCACAAAGTTCATGTTATCTACATATATTTTTTAAAAGGGAAAGAGAAACAGTAAAATTATCAATATCAATTACTGTGCCGGTGGTGCCCCAGCCTATTTCTGTTCTTTTCTTTCATTTGTAGCATCTTTAAGAATACTTATAAAACAAACAAACAAACAAAAAACCACAAAAAAACCCCACAAACCAATCAAAACCATTGAATTTAAGCTGTGTGAGAAGCAATCTGGCTGCAGGCTTATGGCACTCCACTGCCTGAGTTCTAGTTACTGAGCATCAGCTATTATTAAAATTAAAGCTTTTTTAAAATTTTACTGTAAGAAGAGCTGCTGGGGAGGGCCATGCTCAGGGTGTGGGATTTCACCAACAACTTAAGTTTTTAATCAAAAATTCAAATTTTTTATTAATTTTTTTTTTTTAAAAAATGTTTTAAATCCAAAATTCAAATCAATAGCGTTGGCAGAGCCTGAATTTAAAACCTATCTTAAAACTGAATTAAAAAGCAGCTGCATTGCCAGCTGACAAGATTAGAAAGGTTTCCTCAGCAGTTGTTGGGATTACAAAGGGAGAGGACGGAGCGTGGGGAAAGAAGGGGGAAACCTTCATTTGCACAGTGGATTTTTAACCATCGAGGTCACATCTCAAGGACTGGTAGAAACCATTGTAATCCCAAGAAAGGAAAAGCTTCCTGGATATTTTTCATTTCAGCAAGCCCTCAGCAGCAGGAGGTCGGGATAACTGCGAGGATGGTTTCTTGAGCAGAGTGTGCTCCTGCAAAGCCAGACCTTCACCCACAGCACCCAGAAGGTAGAAAAACAAGGATAGAAGAAAGCCTTAAGTGGGGAACAGGTTATCAAGGGTTGTATAAGGAAAGAGCAAGGTCTGGGAAACAGCACCTGGAAGGTGAGAGAGGAAGGAAATGGGGAAGCAGTTGAGGTTCTCTTCAAGTTTGAAAAGAGCAAAGAAGGGAGGAGAAGAGAGGAGAAGGGAGGAGGAAAGAAAAGGCTGAGACTAAATTCTGACTCAGCTGGGGCTGGATTTAAAGGTAATAGAGAGAAATTGCAGAAAGAGGAGACTTCTTTATAGCAGCAAAGTACTGGGACAAATTCACTGTAGAAACTGAGAAATCTCTATCAGCAGCTCTTTACAAAGAGTTCAGGCATCCATTCCTCATGGCAAAGCCAGGCACAGGGAATTGGGCCAGACAACTTCCCCAGCTTGATCCCAGCCCTATTTTCCAAAAATTACACAAAAATATATGCATTAACACAGCAAATTCTTTTTTTTTTTTTTTTTTTTTTTTTTCATCTTAGCAGGCTTTGAGATGCCTCAGCTTGAGGTGCAAACCCACCCCCATCACTTTGCTGTGCTCAGACTTTCCCCCTTTCCCCAGCCCAATCTCTTGAGCAACCAACAACTCGTAGGGAGCCTGCCAGGCCAGGGCCTTTTTCCCAGCTTGTTTCAGGCTGGGAAGGAGAAAAAAAAATCAAAAAGGAGGACAAAAAGGAGGCTGTCCTGGGAAATGCAGCCTGGCAACCTCCAGACAATAAAACACAAAGCACACAGACAGTGCCTTGCAAGTGGGGGGGTCACAAGCCTCTCCATGGGGCTGGTGGGGAGCAGCTGTTTTTATACATCCCACAACAGCCTCATCCCCAGTGTGGACTGTTTTCATCCACAAAATCCACGGGTATGTGCTTGCATAGGAAATTCCTAAATATATATATACACACACACACATACATATATGTCTGGTCCAAAACCAGACCTGTAAATACATATATTTATATAGTTCCAAACCTTTCAAATCCCAAAATTAAATGAGCAGAATTGATTTTATTTTTTTTTTTCCTTATAATTGTCTGGTTTCTAACCAGTTAACAAAAGCACCTGTCACTTCCCTCATCCACAGGGCAGGTGATTGGCTGCTTTGCAGGAATGCAAATCAACTCCTAAGGTGTTTGTCTTGTAGGAAAACCAGGAGAGCTGCAGAGTGTTTATTCGAAATGTTCATTTCTCACAATTTTAGCACAATGTTTATTTCGATTTGATTTATAATTTTTATTTAGTTTATTATTTATGTGATGAGTTCTAAGGGCAGGCCTCAAGTGCTCAAAACAGCTCCCCAACAAAAACTATTGCACAGTGAAGAGTCACAGTGCAAATCAGTGCTTTCCCTACCAGTACAATGGCAAAAAAGTGACAAGGCAAGAAAAAATGCTGGGGTGGGGGGGAATTTTTGGAGCTGCAGATCATTTAAAAGAGAAGAAAATTGAGGTTTGCAGGCTTTGATGCAACAGCCTCTGTTGCATCCATCCAGGAGAGTGCAGGCTGGCCACCCTTTGCCAAAGTCCACCCTGATGTCACAGCTCGGTGGCAAGGTCCCCACGTGCCTCTCTGACCTGGGCATGGTGACCTGGTCACAGAAACCTCCCCTGCTCTGCTCTGCCCCTGGGTTTCAGAGCTGCCACACCAGGTTCTGCAGCTGAAATCCCCCATGGTGATTCTGTTCCTTCACTGGACAGAAATGGGAGATCACATTTCCTTTACACGAGGGGCTGGAGGAGCACCCAAGATTCCAGCAGCACTGATTTTAGGACCGTGCATCTGCCCATAGGTGTCCAAACTTCCCTCAGGCACCTTTCCAAGAGCATAGCAACCACAGCTGGATTTGAGAAGAATGCTTCACAAAGTTTCATAACTCCTGCTGGCTTCTTCTGCTTTATTCTTTTCCACAGATTCTCTCAGTGACAGAAGGAAAAACCAGGTTTGGAGAAAGTAAAACCAGATTTTCTCCCAGTTTTTCACATCCTTGTCCTAGAAAGTTTTGGCAGCCAAGCATAAATAATCAACCTGCCAAAGTTCAGTTCCACTTTGACTTCTCCTTATCAATAGGTGTTTTTTTATCACTGGCTATTTCTGTTTGCCTTTCCTCTCCAGGTATTCTATTGAGCTGCAGCCAGCAAACATTCTGGGACCTTCCCATCAGGGCTTAGACCGTCCACAATCACTTCACTCTGAAATACATCCTTTTTCCCTACCCTGGATAAAGAACTACAACTTTCTGTGTTCAGCAGGACTTTCATCCTCTGATGTGCTTTGCTCTCACACTGCACTGCAGAGCACAAACCCCCCCAGAGCCATAAAAGGGATTGTGTTGGAAAGAACCTTAAAAATCATCCAGTTCCAACCCCCCTGCCGTGGCCAGGGACACCTTCCACTACACCAGGATGCTCCAAGCCTCACCCAGCCTGGTCTTGGACACTCCCAGGGATCCAGGGGCAGCCACAGCTTCTCTGGGCCATGACAGAGGACTGAAAGAAAATGGTTTTTAAGGTCTCTTCCAACTCAAACCATTCTATGATTCTATAAAAGCTAAATTAAAATACTAAAGAGAAGAATATTTTTCCAGCTAAATATGGGGTATTTATCTATAAAGACCTCCAGAAGGCCAGGTGAAGACATCACATGGGAAACCTATAACTGGAGTTTCCCCAGGTTGCTCTTAGCTGGATCTGCCCTGATTTTCTGATCACAGCAGTGGCCCTAGTGGTGATGCAGAGCTGGGAGAGCTTGAAAATGCCAAAACACCAAAGTCCTGGGGTTTTGATCCAGCTGTAGTATGCAGATCCCTTCCAGAATGGCACATGAAATGCCTCCCTCTTCCACTCCCCCATTCTTTTTAGCAAAAAGCCTTCCCAGGACCCTGAGCTGCATCACCACCCCTTACTTTGGTGTGTTTAGAAAACAATTAAACCCAGCAATCAGAAAGTTTATGCATTTTTTAAAAAAATACTGCATAGTTAGTGGGCCAAGGGATTTAGAGATGGATTTCCTGAGCCCTTTCCCGTTTTTTTCTGGGGGTAGCAGTGCTCCCCATCCCCTCCAGCTTGGCCCTTTAAGTAACTTGAGCCTCCGGGCTGCAAATCCCAGTCTCCAACTAAAAGGATGGAAAAGCTGTTTCTCCCCTTCCCCCTTCTGGGTCTTTTCTTTTGAAAGCAACTATCTTCTATGCCATGATGGGAAGAGAGAGATCACCAAAAGACAGAGCAGCTTTCAGAGCATCCCACTCCCGTATCAGGACAAACTGGCAGCTTCTCCACCCTGCAATGCTTCTGACAGCGCTTTTTTTCCACCTTTCCTCCCCTCCCGCCAGCCTTTGGCAAACCTCAGCTGATTTCCAAACCCTCCGTGGCTGCTGGGGGTTGGTACAAAGGTTTAATTATTTGCCTTTTCTTGGGTAAGGCGGGGATAGGGTCGGGCCCCATCGCCTGACACTGCTAATCTCGCCCACTTTTATTGTGCGGCCCCTCTCTCCCACCTCCCTTCCTCCCCTGCCTCCCTCCCAGGGATTCATTCCCACCATGAATCCGCAGGCGGTTTGGGGATGCTTTTCCCTGCTTTGCTTTTCCCTCCTGAGAGCAGCAAAAGGTAAGAGAGATTTTGGGCTGATTTAGGTCCAGGGATTCTATGGGGTCTGGATGCCCGGGGAGGTGAGATGCTCATCCCAGCACTTCCCTGGCTCCAGCCAAGCAGGGAACAGAGACAACAAGCAGGGCAAACTGCAAACAGCACGAGCATCTCCTGAAGGCTGGGAAATTTTGGGGATTGTGGAAGTCCTTCCTGCTGGGGGGGTGAGAAAAATCAGAGAACTGTAGCATTGTAATCTGCACACCGTGCAGAACCGTAAAAACTCTTCAGTCTGTCTCACAGAGGAAAGCCCCAGGGACTGAGCTGGATTTCCATTGATTCATTCGTTGTTTAAAGCAGCAAAGCTATAAAACATTTCAGAAGCCGAACAAGTGCATCACATTTGCAAGAGAATTTCAAGTGACCTCAAAAACCAGATTTGACTGGTTTTGTCATGGCAAAGGCAACCCTCCTCCTTTCAATCACACTTGTATATGAGCAGGAGAAGGGACTCCAAATAAATCTAGAGAAATAAGATTAAATCAGAGTTTTTGATCTAATGCTGTCCCATCAAGTTCATTTTGCCTTAGCACAAGGACAGTGATTTAATTGGAAGTTCTGATGGAAAACTCATAATATGAAGAATTCAGCTTATTTTCTCCCCTACAAACGTTGATTGTGCCCCAGTTAATGCCCAGTGCTGAAAAGGCAGTGGAAATATCCCTCCTGTCTGTTCATGCTCAGGAAACTTCCCTTCAAGATTAAAGTGTGTTTCTTTGGCATTTCTAAGTCCTGAAGTCCCCAAGCAGAGCCTCTCTTTGAACATCATTTTTTAAGGCAGGGTTGGAAACATGAGCAGGAATCAGCTGTCAGCCTGGAGAACACCCAAATTTCCAACCCACAGGCACAAGTAATTCCCCATGAAAACCTTTCCATCAGCTGGACTTCCAGGAGATGGAGTGATACAGGTCATCAGCACCCCCGCAAGTCTGGGATGGAGGTTTCTGGCTATGGGAAGTGCTGGTGATCCATGACCCCTTACCTTCAGCATTTCCATCTTTCCTCAGGGAATCTGCAGCTGCTTTCTTTCCAGCCCAGGACCCTGTATCAGTACCAGTACAGCCTGGATGTCCAGCTGCACCACACCTCCACACCATCCCCGTGGGGAGCCTGGCTGCAGGCTCAGACATTGATCCATCTGCACCGGCTCTGGAGGGACCAAGGCGGGGAAGAGCTGCTCCAGGTGCAGGTGTGTGGGGTGGGACAGCCACCACAGCCACGTGTTCCTGCTGGGAACACCCCAGGAGGTGCAAACTTTTCCATTTCCCAGCTGAAAAATGACCTCTCTGACCAAATCCATTGCCTGCAGGTAAAATACACACCAGCTTTAGAGCAGACACTTGGTCACTGCTTTCTGCCATCTTCTGCTGTTGTAGATCCGTGACCTGAGGGCCCAACACCACCCAGAAGAGGAGAGGAGCCAGGACAGCACCGGAGGTTCCCCTGTAGAGATTGCACTGAGCCCAGAGGCAAGGGCAGAACTCCAGCAGCCAGTGTTCATCTTCTGGAACAGTGGCAAGGTCAGCTGGACACCTCCTGGCCTTGTTCATGCCCTCTGCAAAGCACTCCTGTCCTCATCCTAATTCTTCTCTGCCATGAAGCCCATAGGAGCTCCTGCTCCACCTCTGATCTCAGAGCAGAGGGAACTGGACAGAGTGGCCAGTGTAGGACTTTACACGGAGTCCCATCCTCCAAAAGGACCCAGCTGGGGCTGCAGAATCCCATGTTAGAGCTCTTCAGTATTGACCATGGGATATAAGCTCCTTTCTGACCTCCTCCTCTAAGGCTATGGAACTCCAGGGTGGGAAGGAAAGGGAAATTGTGTGGGCTTGCATCCACAGATCTCATGCTATTGAGTGATAAGGTCCTCCTTGAGAAAATTCCTCTACAGGGTGAGGGGAGCACACTGCACAGTGTTCTTAGGTCCCCTTCTGTCAGGGAAGGCAGCAGAGAGCCTGCAGGGACCCCAGAGATGTCCCCTCAGCCAGGCACCACCTCCTGCCCTCCCAGGTCAAAGCTTTCTATGGGAATGGAGCGGAAAACATCCTGATCTCCAACCTGAAACGAGGCATCGTCAGTCTGCTCCAGCTTCAGCCCCATGCTGGCACCACAGTGGAGGTAGGTTTAGAGCTGGGGCCACATCTGCCCAAAATCCTGGGATGCACCAGGGGAGATGGCCCTGGAGCCTAGCCAGCCCACCAGCTTCAGCAGAGGGAGTTAAAATTCAGGATAAACAACACCGGGTCTGCTGCTCCAACCAGGCTGTGAGCAAGGATGGCTCTTGGAAAAGCAGAAGACTTTAAATAACTTAATTTTCAGCAACAGGCACCCTTACAAAATCATAGCCTTTCCTTGGACAGTAGGAGCAGCAGAGAAAAAACTCCACAAGCATTCCTGCCAAGCAGGATTTGCTTTGCCAGCAGCCAGCTAGAACAACCTGTGAACAACACAAAATAACCTCAGAACCCCAAATGTGGTCACAGAGATGCTGCTGCTGGTGTTAGCCTGAATTTGCAAAGATGCCTGGATGGACTTGGAGCTATCCAACCACCCCCTGATTTGGCCCACTTCCTAGATTTTGGAATGCTGTCCTCATTATTAGGTTGGCCTTCGTGCCTGTCCTCTCCACAGGGTTGTTTAACACACATGGTCACTCCTGTTTGTGTTTCAGGAAGACGCCTCTGGAAGCTGCCAAGTCACCTACACCGTGTCCAACCATTCCATCACCAAGACCAAAGATCTCCTCAGCTGCTCAAAGCCAAAGTCTGGATTCACCTCCATAAACAAAGCAAGTCCACTGCTCTCACTGTGGGGGGCTCAGCTCACGTTGAGTACAGCAGGGCCACCCCTAAAATCTTTTCACAGGTGGGCTTGGATTCCCATTCCCAGCTGGCTTCAGGCTTCTGCACCAGCTTGGAATGGAACTCTTAGACCCATCCTCAAAGTGGGATGCACCAACATCCCCCAGGAGGATCTTGTGCTGTCGAGGTGGGTAGGAGCAGGAAAGGTGCTCTGGGTCACCCCATGCCCACTGCCATTATCACTTCTGACCTGTCAGCTGGTCCTGCTTGGGAAGGTGGAGATACAGGGATGTTTGCTGGCTCTCAGACTCACAGGATTGGGGATTAGTTTGACAGAACTCTGTTTTGCTTAAAGCAGTCGCCTGTGTTCAGCCCTGACATAAACAGATGAAATCCCCTGTGTCTCAATGCAGTTATACCTGCCATAAACAAAATGTAAGGTTTTTTGTTAAAATATACAAATCCTACCGGATTAAATATAAAAATGGGCATCCCCACAGAGAACCCACAGGCTTTGGCAGGGGTCTCAACAGCACTTTGTTGTGCAAGTCCCTGTGTTATCATCACTCTACCTGTATCAGCCACGGGTGAGAGCATCCCCTTGCTGGTCCTCACCTGGTGTTGCCTCCTCCCACACCTGGGAAGAAGGCAGGCTCTCATGGATTGTCCTTTCCTACATCTTGCAGGTGTAGTGGGTGACTTTGTGGACCGGAAAGTTCTTTTTCTGCTAATGTAAAGAGAGAAATCTCCTGGGGAGCAGGCAAGGGGAAAAACAAAGTTGCATTTTTTTCTCCTTGCTTTTCCTTTTCCAAGATTTTTGGAGTCGAGTGGCAGCCCTCCAGCAGAAGCCAGTATGTGGTGAAAGACAACCTGCTCCAGTCAGTCCTGGCAGAGGAAAGCCACGTGCTGGCTCCAGCCCTGAGATCCCGCTCCGGCATCAAAATCAGCTCAAGGTGAGCGAGGATCCCAACCGCTGGCCATGAAGGGTGGAAACCACAAAATTTTCCTTTGACAGTTTCTCTCTTCACAGGCAGCAGCTCCAGCTGGTGTCTCCTGCAATGCCTGGGCCAGCAGAGGTGTCTGGACACAGCCTTAAGGATGTGCTGGCTGGCACAAAGGCACGGCCCCAGCCCCTGGGCATGGCCAGCCTGCCCTTCAGGAGAGTCTGCACGCACTGCACATCGGTCAGTGATGCCACCGACCACAAAAACTCACCAGGGGCTCTCCCTCAAGCTGGACACTCGTAGGATTTGGAGTTAAACCCCAGGGGTGCTTTGGTGTAAAGGTTATCCCACGATAACATGGGGAAAAGAGGCTAAATCCCACCTAACACACCTCACCTTTGCAGCTGAGAGCCTTCCTGAAGGATTTTGACGGGCGGAGAGTCAAAACAGACACCTCGAAGGCGGCGACAACCTGGCAGTTCCAGAGCTTCATCCAGATGCTGCGCAGCGCCAAGAAGAGGGACGTCCTGCAGCTGCTGAGGAGAGCGCACGAGGAGACGCGGTGAGAATCCCTGGAACCATCTCTCCAAAATTCTGTGTGCTGGGCAAGACAACTGGGGTCAGCTGGTGCTGCTCCATGCACCATCCCTGATGCAGGATGCCATCCTGAGTAGTGGCAGCATTCTCTGGCTTTTCCTAATGCCTGTCCAGTCCAAGCCCTGCGTGGTTTTTGTGGGCCATGCCACTGATGACTTCCCCCTTCCTGCTCCAGCCCCTTCCTCGTGGAGGCAGCGGTGGCCACGCAGTCGGTGGCTTCCTTGGCAGCGCTCTCAGACTTCCTGGATTTCAGCAAGGAGCCCAAGTCCCTCCTGGAGAAGTTTCTCTACACAGCAGCTTTCTCTCCCCGGCCTTCAGGAGAGCTTCTCCAGCTTGTCTTAGTGAGTATGGACATCTCCCTCTGTCTCTTCCCTGAGGGTCCTGCATCTGGGATGGATCCACACACACCATGGGACAAGGAAAAGGTTTCTGTAGAAATTGATTTCCCTGATCATGGGAGTGTTTTATGTGTATTTAACGGGACACTGGTGATGGGAGTGGGTGCTCCTCAGAGGAAGAGAATTCAGCAGAAAATGCTTTGTATCAGTGCATTAGAGAAAATAAAAATTTAGAGCAGCAACATTTTATCCAGTTAAATTATGCACAGCCTCCTTCAAGGCAGGTAAGAACTAGTTTTTCCTTACTTGCTTAAGAAATGCATGGAGATAAGAGGTAAAACATACTCCTCTTTTTTTTGGTTTTTTTTTCCTCCCTCATTTCTTTTTTCCTGCTTCCTGATGCCCAGGACAAGCTGGATGGGAAGCAGCTGGCACCTGAGATCTGGGAGACAGGAATAATTGCTGTGGGCTCTCTGGTGGGCAAGCTGTGCCAGCAGAAGCTCTGTGGGCTGCAGGTGGGTCCTCTGCAATCCCTCACACTCGGTTTTTTGGGACATTCCCCCAGTTCCAGGGGTGCCCAGAATATTTCCCATCCCTCACCTCCCTCTCCTCCTGCAAATCCCGAGCAGGTGGTGGAGCGTGGGGTGGAAACCATCCTCAGGGGGCTCAGAGGTGCCGAGGAGGAGCCCTTGGTGGTCATTTATCTGCTGGCCCTGGGGAATGCGATGCTCCCTGAGACCATCCCCACCCTCCTGGACCACGCCGAGGACGGTCCCACAGCCGTCACGGCCGCGGCCACCTCTGCCCTGCAGCGATTCCCCGCTCCCCACATCTCCAGCAAGGTAGGAGAGGAGCTTGGTGCTCCCCTCCCCACCCAAAGCCAAGCTGCTGGGGTGCATTTGCACTCTTTTAATTACCCCTTCTCATCAGGTGAAGCAAGTGATGAGGAGGATTTTCCACCAGAAGAGGAAGAGTTATGACAAAACCTGTCGCCTGGCCGCTGCCGAAATCCTTCTGGATAACCACCCCTTGTCCATGGATGTCATCAACATCCTGCTGGCCACCAGCGAGATGGAGACAGAGATGGCCACGTTCCTGCTGCTGAAAGTCCAGAACAGCCTGCGTGACCACCACGTGGCAAAGTGGGGCTTGAGGGGATGGGTGCATTTTTCCCTCTGCTCTACATCACCTTTTTTCCCTCCTCCTTCACAATCCAGCTGTGGGTTTTGGACCAACACATCTTTAAGGTGTGCTGGCATCACTTTGTGGAGGCTGCCTGGACGTTCCTGGAGTAACAAAAGGGATGCAGATGCCACACAGCCCGGCAAAACCTGGAGTTCCTTGTCATCCTGCCCCGTGGCACTGGGACCCAGGCTTGTGGTTTCGGCAGAATCCTTGCAGCTCTGGCTCCCAGGGCAGTGCACAATTTGTACCTGCATTTATCTTCCTGTCTGCACAGAACAAAGCAAGCACTCACATTTTTTTCTGAGCTAGGCAAAAGCTGCACAAAAATATCTGCCAGGTGCAAAAATAAGCCAGAGGAAAAGGAAATTCCAGGGTAGCCTATGTCTAATGCTTTTATTTTTTACTCGCACTGCTCTGGGCTGTCAGCAACCATGGGAAATACTTTGGCAAATTATACTTCCTTCTGTCAGTGATCACTGACTTTTTCCCTTCCCTCCTTCCCAGTGCTGACATATCCTCTCCCTCTCTTTTCCAGGAAGATAATGAAAGACATCATGGGAGACCCACAGATAAATAATTACAATTTCTTCTCTAAAGTCGGCATCTCCTCTTCTTTCTCGGGACCTCTGACAGGTGACAGAGCAGAGGACACTGATCCCCTGCTCCCCTCAGAGGGTTAAAGGAGGGGTTGGTGGGAAAAGGCAGATTCCAGAGGAGGCTTCAGGTCTATAGAACGCCCCAAAATCTCAGGGAGGTGTCTGAGAATGTCCCACCACCTGAGAGATGAACATACCCTTCTCTAACACAAACTTTTCCCAAATCCTGCTGGTTTGAAAGAGGAGCTTCAGCTGGAGATGAAACCAACAGCAGATTGCTGGTGGGAGTTTCTGTGCTTTCCCTAACAAGACGAGGTGTTTCACTCCATTCCTCAGTTCCTTTAGTATTTGTAATAAGATCTTCAAAGAGGAGGATTCTTGTACTGAGATTTAAAAGAAAGAATCAAACTTCAGAGACTGCAAAAAGCAGTACTTGCTAAATAGCTGCTGAATTCTTTGTCCCTCAGCTCTTATTTCTGTCCCTCTTCAAATTAGCTCAGTCTGGCCCTGCCAGGGAGGAAAAAAACAAACAATAACCTTGCAATGCTAAATCATTTGAGAATTGCAAGAATGAAAGGAGAAGATGCAGAATGGAACCACAGGTTTGGGTTGGAAGGGACCTTGAAGATCCTCCTGTTACAACCCCGCTTCCACCAGTCACCCAGGGGTGCTCATGGACATCTCTCTGCCTTTCAGTCACCCAGGACCTGACTTCCACTTTTGGGCTGGACCTGCTGTTTTTGGAGGGTGGATTCCTGAGGAAGAGCGTCTCTGACTTCTCCCTGCTCAGCCACGGCCAGAGGCTTCGTGCAGCTCAGGTGCCAGCAGAAGAGGGGCTGGAGGGGGTGACAGCACCAACCCAGCGGTGCCACTGCTGTCCCTGTGTCCCCTCTAAACCTCCTTGTGGTGCTTCACCTCTGTGCTCAGCTCGTCCTGTGTCAGAAACGGCCAAATTCCCAAATCACCGGTGTGAAACCAGACACTCCTGCTCTGGAGAAGGGAGCCCCCTGCTAACCCCCCCAAAAAACAGAGGATGCAGCTCTGATACCTCTGGCTGCTCAGGGATGGCTTGAAGTCACCCCATCATTGTGGAGCGCTCCAAAGGGTCCCTCCACTTCTGTCTCCCAGGTCACCTTTGAAGCACAAGGGATGGAGTCGATGATGGGAGAGAACCTCTCGGAAGGGGAAGAGGAGCCAGAGCTCATGGCTGGGATGTCAGCCACCTTCTTTGACGTCCAGCTGCGGCCAGTCATCTTCTTCCAGGGATACACAGACCTAATGGCCAAGGTCCTGCTGAGCAGTGGAGAGCCCACCAGCGTGGTCAGAGGGAACCTCCTGCTGATGGACCATCACCAGGTACCGGGTGGGGAGGAAGCAGCAAGCTGTCTCCACACCACGTCCCAGTGAATCCAATGAAAGGAGCCTGTGGATGTTACACACCACAGAAACAGATCTAAGAGCGAGGTGGCACTGCCAGATGTGTCTTGGGGTTGGCAAGGCAGCGGGATGGCTTGTTCTGCAGCGGGAGGCTGGAGTTGGGACAGACATTCCCAGCAGCCACAAGGCCCTGCCGGCGTCAGCCACTCACCCAGGAGCAGTGCCTGGTTACAGGAAGCTCTGCCTTTTCCATCTTCCAGGTCATTCCTCTGCAGTCTGGCCTCCAAGTGACCGTCAAACTCCAGGGTGGGCTGGGGCTGGACATTTCAGCAGACATAGACGTGAGCGTTTGGGAGCAGGAGCTGAAAACCAGCGTCAGTGCGAGGTCAGCGGGCAGGAAACAGTTTGGCTCTGGGAGTGGGGATACCCTGGGTGGTGAGGGTGGATTTCCACAGCTCCCTGCTCTTCTGGTGGGTCCAGCCTTTCCTGGTGGTCACACACACGTTTTCCATGGCCAGACCTCTAATTAAGATGTTTGTGGAGTTGTTTGGTGCCCAGCGCTGGCCACTGCTCTGTGACCAGACCCTGCCCACTTCTCTCTCCCAGGGGAAGCCTTGCCATGGATTTCCAGGCAGAACTGGATTCCCCTTTCCTCCAAGCCACCCTGAGGAGCCAGACAGAGGTGGAGACCTCGATCCATTTCGACACCAAGCTGAGGTTTTCCAGCAGCCCCGTGCTCATGTGCCTGCAGCTGAGAGAGGAACAGGTCCCCTACAGGTAATCCCTGGCTACAGCCAGATCCTGCAGAAACACCCTGGTGGGCTTGAGACAAAGGAGAACTTCTTGGGAAGAGGAGAGAATTAATGGTTGCACTTACTGGGTCAGAATTGGTAGGGATGGGCACCACAAGCTCCTGACATGGGTGGAAGCACCATCTATAAGACCATCGGGAGATGGTGACTGGGCTGGTCTGGGAGGAGAAGGATGAGATCCACCAGCATCACAGCCTCCTGACCATCCTGCTGTCACTTTGCCCCACAGAGAAATCTTCACAGTTTCCCAGTCTGCTGGGAGCCAGAGCAGCACTGCTCGGAAAGGCCGGCGTGGCACCGTGCCCGGGAGGGAATTTGCCTTGCACCAAACCAATTCCAAGGTCTGCAACCTCCTGCTGACTGCAGAAAAAGAGTAAGGAGTCAGAGCACTTCGGGATTCTCCTCCACAACCACCTTTGAATTAGAAAGATGCTGCAATAAGGACATCAGAAGGGACCACAGGAGGAACTGCTGAAGAACAGACACACCCCCTTGCCTCCAAACCTGCCCTCACAACCCAAAGGCTGGGATTTCCCCCTCCTGGGCTCCCCGCCTTCATGGGGAAGGGCCCTGCTGGAAGCCAAGCTTTTCCTCATGAAAAACAACCTTATTTTGCAAGTGAATGAGTTTCTGAGAGCCCAAGAAACCCTCCTGAAAGACTGCATCCCAAAATGCCATGTTTTCTCCCCATTTATCAAAGCTGTCAGGAGGGGACACATCTGCAGCCAGCTGTAAGTCCCCAGTGAAGGGAATAAATCATTTTCCTTGGTTGGGAGGTTGGCCTCCCAAGCTGAATTGTTATCATCCACCACCACCACCCAACACCTCCAGCACTGGAAGGAGATCAGTGAGGAAAAAGCAGCATTTCTCCATTCCTTCCTGATATAATAATGTGCCTTGGAAGTATTTTGAGCTTTTTTTTTTTTACTTTTTTTTTTTTTTTGTGTGTGTGTGTGTGTGTATGTGTTACAAAATAAGTTTTTTAGTACAGAAAAGAGGGATATGGAACATATTTTTTAAAGTTATGAGCCTGAAATGTTAGCACTGAGTCTCCTGGCTGAGTGGAGGAAACTTGCCTGGTATTCCATCTGGAGACACCAACTACAGGCACTTTGGTTATGTACAGAAATAAATGCCATGTATTTTTATATTGTCTCTGTTTGACTCTTAACTTTCCTGGACACATGGATGGGAAGAAGGGAGAGGCACTTCCAGCAAGAACCTGCTTTCTAGGTCTGTATTTAGGGTGCTCCTTTTCCTCTTTCTCCTCATTTCCAACCTCCCCTGGCACAGCTTGAGGTTGTTTCCTCTTGTTTCTTGTTCCCTGGCAGCAGAGCCCGACCCCCCCTGGCTGTCCCCTCCTGTCAGGGAGTTGTGCAGAGCCAGAAGGTTCCCCTGAGCCTCCTTTGCTCCAGGCTGAGCCCCTTTCCCAGCTCCTTCATCCTCCCAAAAGAGTCATTTCATCCAGCAGCGGGGGAAAGGGACAGTCAGGCAGGGTTGGAGTGCCAGATGTGACTCCTGCCCCAGGAATGTCGCAGGTGGAGCAGGGCTCTCCAGGAGCTGCAGGCCAGCAGTGACCTGCAGCCAGATCCGATGGAGATTTCGGACTCCAACCCCTCGGCTCCGGTCCCCAGGGATGTCCCACAGGCGGCACACGAGGTCGAGGCACCTCTGCGATGGGCCCTTGGCAGCCCCTCACCCTTCTGACCCGGTTTTTGGTGGCAATGCCGTCCCCTCCTGGCCTCCAGGCTTGCCAGCACAAGCAGTTTTCCATGTTTTCTTTCCCCCTGCACCTCTCTCTATTGCCAGGACATCCCATGCAACCCTCAGGAGAGCACGTGGACACCGCTCACCAAATGGGGCCATAAAACATTATCTGCCTGTCTATTCCAGCTGGCTGCAGAGACAAAAATACCATGAGAAAGAGTGCACAGAAGTGAGGGAATGTGTCTGAAAGAACGGTGAGCATCAGCTCTCCTTGGGGATTTAGTGGAGAGGCAGCTCTGGAGTGCTGGGACAGAGCTCTGATCAGCCACTGCTCTCTCCTTTCTAGGCAACCTACGATACAAATAATTGTATTTCCTGACTGCTGGGCCTCAGAGACACCCCTAAACTCCACTAAAAATCAAAAAACCTCCCAGTTTATAACTCACCAAAGCAGCAGTGAAAATCCCAGCACTGAACTATGACAAGCCTGACATAAAGCTGCACATCCCAAACCTCCACCGCAGAGCTGGCAGCTGCCTTGGGACATGCACATCACACTGGGATCCCTGCAAGGCTCTCCTGGGACATGCACACGCTTATCTGAGAGCCACAGCGCCCTGGAATCAGTCTGGAGCTTCCAAGGAGCAGCAGCTGGCAGGGTGGCTGAGTATAACCTGCCCAGCAATGAGGAATGCAGGGGGAAACTGGGAAGCTGCAACGGGACGCAGCTGGGCAAACCATGGCAGCTGAGCAGATCCCGAGGAGAAGCTGGGGGGAAAAGCTCAGGGCCAGGGCTGGTGAGTCAGGCAGGGAGCCTGGGAAATGGCTGAGCCGAGCCAGCAAGGCTCCAGGGCTGAGATAAAACCCTTTGGCAAAAGCCATGGGAAAGAAAACTGAAGTTTTCCTAGAAGACTGTTCCACCCACTCCATCCTGGCCAGGAGTGCGAGTATGGAAGGGATGCAATACTTGCTGTAGGAAAATCAGCAGTGAAGAAGGTGTTTGGAGACACAGCCATGTTCCCAGTTCCCATGGGGACAAGCACCTGCTCTGCCCCATCTCACAGAACCATAGAATCCCTGACTGGTTTGGGCTGGAAGGGACTTTAAATCTCATCTCACCCCACCCCCTGCCATGGGCAGGGCATCCTCCACCAGACCAAGCTGCTCCAAGACCCATCCAGCCTGGCCTGGCCTGGCCACCCCAGCAAGAAAAGCCACAACCACACCAGCTGCAAGCCTTGAAGTCTCTCCTATCCCTTAGAAACCCCAAAATCCCTCCTTGACCAAATATTTTTAGGCTGCTGCAGCCTAAAAACCTGAAGGTGTGGTGTTGCCGTGTGGAAGGGGAACATCCAACAACAGAGAAGTGAAGATTTTCCATGGGAAATCCAAGCAGGGTTTTCAAAGCACTTGAAAAAGCAGGCACTGCAAAGATTCAGAGGAATCCAGTGTGGCTGGATTTTAAGGAATGACCTGGTAGGGTTTGGGTTTGACTTTTTAAGAGGGGCCATTATAAACACGAGGGGAAGGGCTGAGTGACTTCATGCCAGAGGATGCAGCAGTTCCACCTTCACTCTGAGAGCCAGAGGCCTGCAGGAGACATTTGAAAGGAAAAGAGGAAAAGAAAACCTTTTTTTTGAGGGATTACAGCAGCATCAATCACCAGCACAACACCTGTGTTCCCACAGGAGGCATTGTTTTGTGTGAGTGTGGCTTTAGAGCAGCCCCGAGGGCAAAGCCACACTCTTCTCCTCTCCCTCCCATGCAAGTGCCACCAGTTTGCTCCTGACAAAAAGTGGCACTGGGGACCTCTCAAGTGTCCCCTCCCAGCCATGCCCTGCAGTGCAAAGGGCAGGAGGCAAGGCAGGGAGTGGTCCTTGAGAGGGAAGCTGCTGCTTTAAGGATGGAGTGGAGCATCCAGAAGATCCATAAAATGGAGTAGAGATCCATAAACCGGGACAACTGAGGCAACACCAAACCTTGTGTGAGATTATGGTGAAAACCCCAGCAACAGGAACTGGTTTTTGGCATCAAACAGGGAAAGGAGGGCTGCCAAAACACACCCTGACACTTGCTCTCTGCCCTGATCCCTACCCTAGTTTCACCACTTCACATTTTTTTACCTGGCCATGGCAGCAGGGGCTCTTTTTGGCCTGAACCAGCAATACATCAATATTTATTTTTGCACTGGCTCAACTATTTATGTGTGTGTATATCTATATATGTATATATCTAGAGATTTTCTTACTCCTCAAAACAGGAGTGTGAAATCCTGGCTGATAAAGAGGAGGGTTGAAATAACACAAAGTAAATCCATTTCAACAACCACACATGGGTCACGCTCATATTTCCCCCTCCACACACACATCCTTAAAACAGATCAAGATCAAAACAGATCAAGATCAAAACAGCAAGAGATTTTTATGTGGATTTATTTTTATTTTCTTTTTTTTTTACATTATGTTAGAGTTCAAAAAAAAAAAAAAGAACCCAACAAAATTAATAAATATTAAAAGTTAAAAAGCTCTGAATCTCGTATGTACAAAACTTTACACATCATGGTAATACTGGACAAGGTTACAGCACAAGAACGACTCCATGCACCCACCTGGCTTAGGAGGGTGCAGGGGACCAGAGTCATCCTCTCCTCCTGGAGACAGGACCAGAGACAGGACAAAGCCACCCAAGCTCAGCCTGCCTTCAGCTGGAATAAATTCCCCATCCCTGGAAGTGTTCAAGGCCAGGATGGGGCTTGGAGCAACCTGGTCTAGTGGGAGGTGTCTGTGCCCAGGGCAGGAGGGCTGGAACTAGATGAGCTTTACAGTTTTTTCCAAGTGAAACCATTCCAGGATTCCACGAAACACGCCGTGCTGGGTGCCAGCCCTGCAGCATCACCCACAGCTGGTGGGGGGGAGGTGGTCACAGCCTGCTTTAGATCTCCTCCACCTCCCAGCCTGAGGTCAGCTCGAGGAGCTGGCTCAGTCCCGAGCCACAGCTCTCGCCCGAGGTGTGCGGAGGAACCACTGCAAATATTCCTTAAGCAATGAAGCACCAAAGCCTAGGCCAGCACGGAAGGGAGGGGCACAGCTGGGAATTTCGGAGGAAGGACATCACAGCCCATTTCTGAGGGGAAAGGAGGTCTTTTTGTTATGCTCCTTGGAGAGCAAACAAAGCGTTATCTTTGGCACAATAAATAAACACTGGCACTCCCGTGGAGGGGCTGGCAAAGGGTGAATCCCTTGGTGAATTCATTCCAAGGGATGAATCCCACCCTGGTATCCCTGCAGGATCCCCTGTGGGTACCAATACAATGCATGTTGTGGATCTGGGCACTCCATGTGCCCACTTCCCACGGGGTGTGCCAGCTGTGTGGCTCAGACAGATGGGGGGGCTTTGTTCCACGTTTTGGGATGCCCACCTAATGCCAAAGGGCAGCACCCAGGAGGCTGCCAGGACTTCCAGCCTCGGGTGCTTTGAGAGGAGTTGGAAAAATGCTCATCCAGCAGGAGAGTGCTGGGAAGCTCCAGAGGAGTCCAATGCTTAAAAGGTTAGAAATGCAGAGGGGTCTCCATCCATTTCAGTCAGAGCAAGTTCCTCAATCCTGTCACAATCCATGCCAGACCGGGGAAATCACCTCATCAGCAAGCCCTGGATACCTGCAGAGCTTACAAACACTGTCCCTAGGGATGCCACATCCTACTCCTTGGACACTAGGGAAGCAGGACCCCCAGGGCCACATCACGGGTGGGCTCCCAAGGACATCCCACTTGGCAATGCCAAACTGGTCTGTCTGCCAAACCCTGCCTTCCTGGGACTCCACCTCCCCGTTCCCAAAACTTCCTCCCCCACAGATGCCCACCTTCCCCTGCTGCTGCACCCTAATTACCAAAACCATGGAAGCCCCCTCGAGGGACACCAATTTTGGGAGGTTTTTGAGGACTGAAACTTGTCAAGGCAAACCCTGTGCCCAGAGCTGGCCCAACACCCGGCGAGGAGAGGGCAGCCCAAGGCTCCTAAAGTGCTGTGCAATGTTTAGTACTTGGCACAATAATTTGTCAGGGCATTAATCACCCCCTTCCCAGCCCTTCCCAAGCAATGAGAGATGCAGATGAATCTTCATCTCTCTCCTCTCCTTGTAACTGCCCCTAAAATCCACTCCTGGTTTCCCAGTCACTCCCATTTCCCCCTGGAAGCTGTTGCTGCCCCAAAGGGACTGGGTCCAGGGGTGCAGGGATGAGGCTGGTGATCCTGGGGAGGCTGGGCATCAGTATCAGCTCAAGGCTGGCCAAGGGCAGTATTGGCTAAAATAAAAGTCACCCCCTGGTGATGGGCATTTTTGACCTCAGTTTTTGGTCTTTGATCCATGGTTGGTATTGCTCACTCTGGAATCTCCCGGACCATCTCCTGCCTCCAGGACAGAAGCAGCTCTATGCTTGTCACG